TTCCAACAGTTTTGTTTCCACAAAAGAAACCATGTAAACTTCTGATGCTCCATCTGCCCTTTAAATAAAGTCCACATGCCTAGGTATGGCCCACAGCTCTGCCTGCCCCCTCCCCACCCCCCACCCCAACACACACACGTTTCTAACCTTTTCAACAAAATTCCTTTGTTAATTTATTTTGTCTCAAGTCTTAAATTATTTCATTTGCCCAATAAACACCACTTCTAGTGAATTCCCACACCTATACGGGAAATATATAAGTACCAAACAAAATATTCAAGATTTCTGGAAAGAAGTAGCTAAAATTACTATATTAAGTTTGATATAATTCAGCTCAAAGCAAAAAAACATTGACTTTTAATTTTTTTCCTGGTGATATATATTTTTTAAATTTTATTTTTACCCCTAGCTGGTTTGGCTCAGTGGATAGAGCATCAGCCTGCAGACCAAAGGGTCCCAGGTGCAATTCTGGTCAAGGGCACATATCTTGGTTACAGGCTCCTCCCTGCCCTGGGCCCTGCTGGTTAGGGTTCATGCAGGAGGCAACCAGTCACTCTATTTCTCTCAGATATATGTTTCTCTGTCTTTCCCTCTCTCTTCCACTCTCTCTAAAAAACAAAACAAAAATTAATGGAAAAATCCTCGGGTGAGGATTAAAAAAACAAAACAAAAAAATTAAAAATTTTATTTTTAATTACAGTTCACATTCAATATTATTTTGTATTAGTTTCAGATGTTCAGCATAGTGTTAGATAATCATATGCTTTACAAAGTGTCCCCACCGGCCCCCCGATATTTCAGTACCCACCTGGCACCATACATGGTTATTACAGCATTACTGACTATTCCCTATGCTGTATTTTACATTCGTGTGACTATTCTGTAACTACCAATTTGTATTTCCTAATCCTTTTCACCCAGACCCCAACCCTCCCCCCCTCTGGCAACAATCAGTCTGTTCTCTGTATCTATGAGTCTGTTTCTTTTTTGTTTATTTTCTTACTTTTCAGTCGGGTCAAGTTTCTAAGCTTTCTAAATCTCCATTTTCTGGCTAATGAAAAGAAAATAGGATTCCATCGAGTCTCCTATCTACCTACTCCAGGACTTCTGTGAGGATCAAATGAGATGAGGCACGGGAAAACGCTTTATAGACATTTGGTTAAAGTGTGAAATGTTTGCACCAGGCTATAAAGCAAGTTGGGTTCCTGGGCTGAAGAAACTCTAAGGAGGCTAATTGCTAAGGAGAGAAAACCAGGCATTGCTACATGATGTCATTACCTGGCACCCACAGCGACCATCAGGCTGTACTGTGGGCCCCATTTTGTGCCATGGGTTCTTGGCAGCATTGGCTGTGATTTGGTGGGGTGCTGCTCCAGGGTGGTGGCAGGGCCTGTGTTCCACTTGGGAAAAGCCGACTGTTGGTTTGTGGGCACTAGGTGCACAGTACCGTTTCCCTGTAAATGGGACACCTAGTCATATATAATTATATTGGTACACACACACACACACACACACACAGAGAGAGGCCCAATGCATGAAATTCATGCACTGGGGTGAGGTGAGGGGGGAGTGTCCCTCAGCCCAGCCTGCACCTTCTCCAATCTGGGACCCCTTAGGGGATGTCTGACTGCCGGCCCAAACGCCCCCTCTGACAATCCGGGAGTGCTGGCTCCCAACTGCTCGCCTGCCTGATTGCCCATAACCACTTCTGCCTGCCAGCCTAATCACCCCCTAACCACTCCCCTGCCAGTCTGATTGACGCCTAACTGCTGCCCTACCTGCCCTATCACCCCCAACTGTCCTCCCCTGCTGGTCTGGTCACCCCTAACGGCCCTCCCATGTCGTCCTGGACCCCCAAACTGCCCTCCCCTGCCAGCCCGGTCACCCCTAATAGCCCTCCCCTGCCGGCCTTGTCCCCCTCAACTGCCCTCCCCTACAGGCCTGGTCACCCTAACTGCCCTGCCCTGCTGGCCTGATTGCCCACAACTGCCCTCCCCTGCTAGCCATATTGTGGCTGTGGGCACTGCCATCTTTGACGGTATGGCAGTCAGTTAGCATATTCCCTCCTTATTGTCTGTGGGCACTGCCATCTTTGAGGGCGGGCAGTCAATCAGCATATTACCTCCTTATTGGCTGTGGGCACCACCATCTTTACGATGGCATGAGGGTCAATTAGCATATTCCCTCTTTATTAGATAGGATAGATTATTGAGCATATTCTCTATGCTATACTTTACATCCCCATGACTATTTTGTGACTACCAAATTTGTGGAAACTTGACTT